ATTCACTGCAGGAAGTCCATAATCAACAAACAGGTACGAAGTAAAATTTCATTCCAGACATCGGGTAAGCCAGGAAGACACCAATGACTACAATCAGGTACCACTGGTTTGTCGCTCCACTCACCCACATGTGCATCTCTCCGGAAGGCTGACATGGAAGTTACTTGCAGAATGACTCTAGGAACATATTCTTTACCACCTCAAATATAGTCTATGAGAAAATGCTTTGATCCCTCCCTTCGGTTTCTGACAATGGGTTCTGAGTCACGTTGCAAAACCTGCGGGATTTTTCACTGATGCAGAAACCAAAAATAGTAATGATTTATAACCTGACAAACATATTTTTCATTTGGAAATTAACCAAATCTGCAAATGCTGTAATAGAATAATCGATAACCCAAAAGCTTTTATCAGAAGAATGGAAATAAAATTAGGAAACTGTCAAGCAAATCAAATTGTGAAGCTGCTCAAATTTTACACACAAATCAATTCATGGTTGTTTGCTGGAAAAGAGCGAAGGCTGCAATATGTGTGTACGTGTGCGTCCCACTGATAAAAGGAGAACAAACCAAAATAAGGAAAAGAAAATTATTTAATTTAGCAACCAAAAGGAGTTCACTTTGGGTGTATTTTCTGAAAGAGCATCATGGTGCAGCAGAGCCTTCCGCTCAGTCATAGGTGCAAGTGTTATCCTGCTCGTAAGGGCTGAGTTCAATCCCCCTTTCCCCGAAATTATACTCGATCAAAGAGAAACAAAGGGACAAAAGAAGCATCATAGTATTATTAGCTACCTCCAGTGCGAGGGCTCGAATGTTCGGAAGATGACAAGTGTTCTGTTTGCGTCAGTCGTGTTCTCAACCCATGATGCCCAAGTACTTAATGCCGTTTTATATGCAGCAGGAATTGAAATTCCAAGCTTTACTGTGTTCCCAACCTGGAAGTAGCAACCACTTCCAAAAGAAGACATGAAATTTTCTTACATGGGTATGGAAAAACATCTGGGAAATGTCATTTCAGCTAGTCATAGTAAGTTCATTGGATACTAAATGGTAAGAAGAAACACATTTTACAAATAAAAATTAACATACAACAAAGGTCAGTGCAGCCTCACCGTTATTTTCTTTCAGTTTAGAATATTTTGAATAGTACACTTCAAGCATCAATTTAACTAATCATTCAAATCAGGCAACTTATCGATAATAACTATACCAACTTTGAGTTTGTCAAAATTATAAGTTGATATTATTATCGATCAATGATTTCATATGCAGGTAAAGCATCAATTCTGTAAAGCAAAGCGAAGCAAAACTAGACGAGGCAGTAAAAAAAGATAAATGTTCATTGAACAAACTGCAAGAGGGAAAAACATAGGTGAAAAAAAATACATGAAGGTAATCATGAACTATATCTTAGTTTCCAACCTTCAAAAAGGGCAAAAGCTGTAACTTAAGAGTAGTAGGGATTCAAATTGAAAAAATAAGCACCACAAGAATTCATGTAGAAATTATGAAACATTCTCATTAATTATTATCTTATAAAAGTTTAGTCTCAAACTCTTCAGTTGAGGCCAAAAGATACATTATCAAATAGTTGAATCATCGCAACCTAATAACCCAGAAACTATTATTAATAGAAGTAGAATAATCGTAGTCTCCTAGAAGAAAAACACTAAAATGACTCTTATTTGCAAGAAAGATTGTCGGTTTAATAATTTTCCCTGATTCTACAGTGCAATTGGGTAAGTGTTCCTAAACTAAATCATCCTTCATAGACAAAAGTCTGACATCAATTGGATAAAGTGGCAATACAATAAATGCTAAACAATAAGTAGAAAATACAAAGCATATATATAATACAGCTATCTAGGAAACCTTCCACATGCTGCTGCCACTGCTAATTTCCCCCTCCATGAGGTCTACAGAGGGTGGAGAAAGGAAAGACGATATTCAGTAAATGCGGTCTTTGAATAAAGGAAAAACATATTTAAAGAAAAAAATACACTACTAGAAAACGAAAATATATGAACACTAAACTTCACGACTTCAATAATATATCGCTAATCTAACCAAATATATCATGAAATTTATAAACATAAACATACAAGCATAATATGCAATAAGCGGTAGGGATGGCAAAAGGGCGGGTCGGGTGCGGATACCCCCTCCCCCATCCCCATACCCACCTAATATTTTTCAATCCACCACCCGCCCACCACCCATGGTGGGTACAAATTTTCAAATTCACACCCGCCCACGCGAGTACATTTTCAAATCCATCCCCACACCCACTACCCACTAGCGACATACCTATCTAGACCCGCCTAACAGCAAACTAATGGGATGTTGGAGTTGGTTCCCAGACAGTTCGTGATGGGGTAGCAGTGCATGCTTTAATTTGTCAGAGGAGTAGCTCTACGAATGTTATGGAGACAGATTGTAGGGAGCATGTAGTCGCAGAGCTGGATTGTTGTGTTGCTTTCGATGTTAATGCTCATAGTGCGCCTAATATATGGGTTTTGAGGGGCTAAAGAACATGGAAACTGCTGCTTTTGATGTTAATGCTTATAGTACGACTAATTTGTGTTTGGATGGGCAACATGGGCTAAAGAACATAGAAAGTGACGTGGTTAGTAGGATTATGAGTTTAATCAAAGAGCCGAATATTTCCCTAATTAAAGACCAGATTAAAGACTAAATATCCTTAATATTTGGATAAATTATATGTTATATATTATACAATATTAAAATTTATAAATTAGTCTATAAAATTACACCTAAATTCATAATGGTCCAAAATTTAATAGATATTTAGCTGGGTGGGCGGATGTGGGGCGGGCGGATGCGGGGCGGGTGGATGCCAGGCGGATGCGGGGCGGGTAATGTCTCAAACCTATTACCCGCCCACCACCCACGACGGGTACCACTTTATAAATCCACACCCGCCGACTACCCGCTAAAATTATACCCATCCCCGCTCCAATTAAAACAGATGCGGTGCGAAATCCACGAAACTGTATCCGTTTGCCATCCCTAATAAGCGGTGAGTATAAATATATAAAAATAATATATCATTTCATCGATGATACTATAATGTCTCTCGATCTCATATAGCCTTGAGTATAAATATATAAAAATAATCTCGGATATTTGTATAGATATCACCACGAAGGTCGCAATAGTATTGTAATATCCTAAAATTTGAGTTAGTAAAAGCAAGTAGGTAATTAGATAATTTTTGTGATTTTTAATAAAATTGAATTTTTTGAAAATTTTTATACGAAAATATTAAATAAATGTTGAATATGATTTAAAAATATTAAATATGAATTTTAAAAGATTTAATTTAATTTTATAAGCGACTAAATTATAATTTTTGTAAAAGATAAATTTTTAATAACTAAAATATCAAAATTATAAATAATTTTAGCCAAAAAAATTTATGTGAATAATTTAAATTTAAATTAAAGTTTAATGTGTATAACTGAATCGAATTAAAGTTGCATATACCACACAACACATTTGACCAATGTTCATACACCAACTTAAAAGTTACATATTATATATATATGATCAAAATTTATGTTTAATTTCAATACTTTTACATATCATTAAATTAAATGAATTTGTTTTCTGAATCCAATTATAAATAAACACCTCTCGTTCCTTTCCAAACGAAGCAAAATTTAGAAAGAAAATAAGATTGGTATTATTATATGTTGTATAGAAAAGTATCACTGCCGGATCCGTGGCGCAATGGTAGCGCGTCTGACTCCAGATCAGAAAGTTGCGTGTTCAATTCACGTCGGGTTCAATATCCCGGATCCTTTTTTTTACTCGATATTTATAGAAATGCCCCCATAATATCTCATCTGAACTGATAAACCTCCATCTCATCCGAAAAGGGAAAAAATATATTTAATCGTTTTTTATTTAATTAAGATGTAATAATTGAAGATTAATTATCGTTAGATCACTTTTTTTATTTAATTAAGATGTAGTCACTAAATATTAATATCGTTATACCTTTTTTGTTGTTTGAGTACGTTTTAGTTTTCACCGTTAAAGTTTTAAAAATAACAAATTAGTTATTAAAACATCAAAAAGGTCCTTGTACAATAATTTTATATCTAATTTATTCCAAAGGTTTTCTAATATTTTTGTTTGTGTTCAAAATATATGATTGCTTCATGTCTAAAAAAGTTTATTTCTAAGTTTTATTTTTAAAATTTAAAAACTGTATATATAAATTGGAAAAATTAGATAGCTTTTAGAGTAAATTAGATATAAAATCATTGTTCAATAACTTATTTGATATTTTGGTCAAAATTTACTTAAACATTAGTAATCATTTGTATAATTTATCCTTTTTAATTTCATAAATTCTCTCTATCACGTTAGCAATCAGTTAAAGACTAACGACAATTAATTCTCAGTGACTCATATTAATTAAATAAACACAAAATTGACTAAAATTTTTGAACATGTTTCATATGAATCTATGAGCATTATTAATTAATATTCATGAACGTGTTTCATGTGACTGAAAACACGCCTACCATCGTGTTCCGATAAGCATGAGACAATTTATATACCATGTCACACGTGTTTTTTCGGGGTCACGTTTTACATACGTGTATATCATGTCAGCATAAGATGTGTTTTAGGGGGCGTGTCTTACCCCACGTAACATCAAATCAGCTTAAAACGCGTTACAGGGGCGTATCTTTCTGTAAAAAATATTAGATAAAAAAATATAATCTGAACAATACCTGATCGATAATTATACTATTCCTCGATGATATATAAAAAAATCACCCCTAACCGTCAGTAAAATAAAATAATCATATTATTTTAAAACAATAAAATAAACTTGTGAATGGGTCGAACTCCGTACCCAAACTTGGCGCCAAAAAGGATACCTTAAGGTGAGGTGTACACCATTTTACCGCCAAAACTTCGCGCCAAAAATACATGGGTTTTCTCATTTATTTGGGAACCCTAAGTGTAAGTCTACCGTTTCTCTGTTCTGCTAGATTTGAGTGACCCAAGAGAATACGATACAAATGGCAGGAGAAGATTCGGGGAATCCGTTTCCGTCGACGCCGGAATCACCGACATCTGCAGGATTTAACACGGATCAACTGCCAGCTGACAGCAGCCACTCGTCTGACGAGGAAGAGGCAGCGGTGGATCCCGAGATAATAAGAGACGAGGTGGATGTGGTGGACGAAGAGGAAGACGATGGAGAAGATCTGTACAACGATAATTTCATGGATGATTATAGGAGGATGGACGGGCACGACCAGTACGAGTCAGTGGGGTTGGATGAATCGATGGAGGACGAGAGGGATCTGGATCAGATCATGCAGGATCGTAGGGCTGCTGAATTAGAGCTTGATACTCGAGATGCCCGCCTCTCTAATCGCAAGCTTCCTCAGCTTCTCCATGACCAGGGTCGGTAAATTTCTCCATAGCTTACCGTTTTTTTAACCTGGTTCAATTTTTTTCTTTTGTTGTGCTTGTACATGAAGTGGTTAAATGCGGAGTTAAAATGATGCTTGCAGACACAGATGACGATAATTATAGGCCTTCTAAGCGACCGAGAGCTGATTTGAGACCTCCGACTACCCCGAGAAGCTACGATGACACTGATGGGATGCAGAGTTCACCGGGAAGGTCACAGCAAGGCCACTCAAGGGACGATGTACCCATGACCGACCGAACTGATGATTACCCTTACGAGGTTCAGACCTGTCATCAACTTAAGTTAAGTTAGCATTTCTTATTGCATCTAACCTTCCTCATTGTATTCAGGATGATGATGATGATCAAGGCGAATTTGAGATGTACCGTGTCCAAGGAACATTGAGAGAGTGGGTTACTAGAGATGAAGTTCGTCGCTTCATTTTCAAGAAGTTTAGGGATTTCATACTTACATATGTGAACCCGAAAAATCAACATGGGGACATTGAATATGTACGCCTCATAAATGAGATGGTGTCAGGTAAAACATCTGTTCATCCTTGGTTTTTGGTTTCTAAAAGCCTAGATGCACAGAATGTTTGGTAATCATTATTGGCGCTAATTTCATATTCTGTTTGTGCTAACAATTGTTCCATTTTGCAGCTAACAAGTGCAGCTTGGAGATTGATTACAAGCAGTTCATTTCTGTTCATCCTAATATTGCTATCTGGCTGGCTGATGCCCCTCAATCTGTCCTAGAAGTTATGGAAGATGTTGCCCAAAGGGTAGTCTTTGATTTGCATCCAAACTACAGAAACATCCACCAGAAGATATATATACGCATTACAAACCTTCCAATCTATGATCAAATTCGGGATATCAGGTAATATAGAATATTGACTATGTATCACCATTTGATAATTTTCCTTTTTCTATAGTTTCATTTTTACCTTTTTATTTGGTCTTTCTCAGGCAAATCCATTTGAACACCATGGTTCGTATTGGGGGTGTTGTGACTAGACGCTCTGGGGTCTTTCCCCAGTTGCAACAGGTAAAATATGATTGCAACAAGTGTGGATCAATTTTGGGACCGTTCTTTCAAAATTCATATTCAGAGGTTAAGGTTGGTTCCTGTCCCGAATGCCAATCAAAGGGGCCCTTCACTGTCAACATTGAGCAGGTAAATTTATTGCTCTCTTCCATGCACCTGCACCTGATTGATATTTTTTGTAGGCAATAAAGGATTATAAGTTGGATTCTGTTTCTGAGCTTATGTTTGTTATTAAGAATCAAAACAGCTTTCGGTTAAACTGCAAATAAGTTTGGATTACTCCTAGCTGTGTTCTTTTTTTTTTGGATAAATTTCCTGTCTCAGTCGAAATCTATTTATAATCATGATTTGAGATTTTGTTTTTCATTATATGTTCTGCCTTGCCTTGTTGCAGACGGTATACAGGAACTACCAGAAGCTAACTCTCCAAGAAAGCCCAGGAACTGTGCCTGCTGGAAGGCTTCCAAGATACAAGGAAGTAATATTGCTCAATGATCTAATTGATTGTGCCCGTCCTGGGGAAGAGATTGTAAGATCCTTTTCCTATATTTATTTCATACTTATTTCAACTGCCAGGAAGACTAATTTTTGTTTTGCATTCAATGTAATTTTTTTCCAGGAAGTCACAGGCATTTACACAAATAATTTTGATATGTCATTGAACACTAAAAATGGGTTTCCTGTTTTTGCAACTGTGATTGAGGCAAACTATGTTACAAAGAAGCAGGATCTCTTTTCTGCATACAAACTCACTCAGGAAGATAAGGAAGACATTGAGAGGTTGGCCAAGGATCCACAAATAGGAGAAAGGGTCTGTCATTCATAATATGATCTGTGCTTCCCTTTTGTAACAAGTAATTCGATTGCTCTCTTGGTCAATTTCTGATTTGAATGCTTGATGGCTCATTTTTTAGATTATAAAGTCCATTGCTCCCTCTATCTATGGGCATGAAGACATAAAAACTGCAATAGCTCTTGCTATGTTTGGAGGCCAGGAGAAAAATGTAGAAGGGAAACACCGACTCCGTGGAGATATAAATGTACTACTTCTAGGTGATCCAGGCACAGCAAAATCACAATTCCTAAAGTACGATTTAACTCTATCAGTTCTTTAGTGTGAATCAGATTTCTTGAACATGCATTTAAAATTTTAAGTACCTTATTTTTAGGTATGTTGAAAAGACGGGGCAGAGAGCTGTATATACCACCGGAAAAGGTGCTTCTGCTGTGGGGCTGACAGCAGCAGTGCACAAGGATCCAGTAACTAGGGAGTGGACCCTTGAAGGAGGAGCCCTTGTTTTAGCTGACAAAGGGATTTGTCTTATTGATGAGTTTGATAAAATGAATGACCAAGACAGGTAAGTGAAGCCTAGCATAAACATTGACACTATACTATAATTTAGATAACTTCAGTAAACACCTTTCCACATTTCCTTTACTGTTTTTAGGGTATTACTTGAACTGTAAAATTATTGAAACATGTGTATTCAGGGTGAGTATCCATGAAGCAATGGAACAGCAAAGCATCAGCATATCAAAAGCTGGGATAGTTACTTCTCTCCAGGCTCGTTGCTCGGTCATTGCTGCTGCAAATCCAATTGGTGGAAGGTATAGATGGTTTATATATGAGATGATGATTTGGTCAGTGTCTTCATAGGTTACCACGTTTTACATAGGCCATCTGGTTCCCCATCAACTGGATTTCTTAACTCCAATTGCTTGATTAATTTCCTTTGCATTTCTTATTCCTGAGGAATAAAAAACTAAACTGGTGATTGAACAGATTGCACTTTCAGTTCCTATCTCAACTGGCTGAAAATAAATTACTCTAAAATTGGTTTAAAAGGCAGAAATCTTTTGGTTTTCAAAAACCAAAATCTAGTTTCACTGGCTTTTAATAAAGTTTTTTGGGTTTCCGGTTTTCTAGCAAGTTTGGTTGGTTTGATAGTAATCTTGCTCAATGTAACTTGAGTTCAACCGGTTGAACAGACTGTCTTGTGTGGTTTCTTAGTTATTGTTAATTCTGCTCCCCCTCCTTTTTTTTTCTCAGCGTAGAACTCTTATTTTTTAGATTCCTGAATTTGTAATCTTAATAGGATTAGAATGTAATTGGTTTCAAATGCAGGATGTTGTTGACCCTGTAACAGATGAAATGCTTGCACAGTTTGTAGTTGATAGCCACTTCAGGTCACAACCTAAGGGTGCTAATATGGATGACAAAGCCTTCAGTGAATCCCAAGAAGAGACTCGAGCCTCTGCTGGACTAGCTGCTGATTCAAAGGTACATAGTGGCTGTTCTGTTATGCTGTCTTAACTGCTTGTACTTTTCAGATCTTGTCTTTCAAATAATCATATGGATTTGTATGTTTACATTGCAGATTCTTTCTCAAGACTTACTGAGGAAATACCTAACCTATGCCAAGTTGAACATATTCCCAAGATTCCATGAAAAGGATATGGCCAAGCTTACTAAAGTTTATGCTGATCTGCGAAAAGAATCATCTGTAAGATTCCTTTACTTATTTTTACTTGTGATTTTTAAAGTGATTTTGCTTCAATGCTCTAATGTTTTATTAATTATGTGTAGCGTGGACAAGGCGTCCCCATAGCAGTGAGGCATATCGAATCGATGATCAGAATGTCTGAAGCACATGCCAGAATGCACCTTAGGCAGCATGTCACAGAAGAAGATGTGGACATGGCTATACGGGTTCTTCTTGAGTCATTCATTTCAACCCAGAAGTTTGGTGTACAAAAGGCCCTACGAAAGGTATAACCAGAGTTTTACTTGCTCTTGCAAAAATTCCCATAATGTGCAAATTCCTTTAAAAATGCTATAATGCAGTATGGTTTTATTTCTTACGAGCTTGTTCAGAAAGTATGGAGTATTCTGTTCTTTTATGATCTGGTATTGTCAAGGCCTGCAATTCTCAAGCATGATATAATTCCAATGGTTTGGCAGTTTTTAGTTTGTTCTGTTTAGGCCTATTCCTTTCTGTTATAACCTTTAAACTTCCACTAGTTATAGGAATCCATGGGCATTTCTCTGTCAGACTTGTGCCAATAAAATATTCAACAGTGGCCCTTGCGGTTGAATTATTGATATTTAGATATGTTTTGGTTTTTGAAGGCCAAAATGTGATTGTTTTCGTTGCTTAAAAAAATGAAACATGCTTGTGATAATGAGGCTGAGAAGAACCCAAAATGTAATTTTGCAGAGCTTCAGGCAATACATAACCTTCAAGAAGGACTACCATGGATTGCTCCTTGCACTACTAAGGGAGCTCGTGAACAATGCATTGCGCTTTGAAGAGATACTTTCTGGATCAGCTCGAAGGCTCAGCTATGTCGATGTGAAAGTAGCGGATTTGCAAGCCAAGGTAGGTATTACTACAAGTTGTAGTTTACTTACGATGATAAAGAGAATAGGTTTTAATGACATTATGTGCAGGCTGAAGAGTATGAAATCAGCAATTTGGAGGCCTTCTTTTCGAGCACTGAATTTAAAGCCTTTTACGAGTTGGACGAACAAAGACAAGTTATCAGACATCACCTTGCGGACAATGACAAACCACAGGTGTAAGGTAATGAAGTTCCTAAGCAACTATCACCCTCATCCGGCCATATAGCTTGTGTTCTGATTTTGCAATTGTTATGTATTAAATGGTTACTTCTAACTTGGATTTACTGTTAGCATGGACTTAACAGTTTCAATTGATTAATGCTGTTGGTTTTTCTGCTCAATCCAGTTGTTACCGTCGTATGAAACTAAGGTTATCAGAGCCATTGAAATAAAATGGTTTTAAAGAAAATGATCTGGTCTAAATGTCAAAAACATTGAAACTCCGAATGAGTCTGAGGCCCATGATGGTTGATTCTACTTTTTCCAGTAAGATATGATTGATTTACAACATCAGAATGCCTGCGATTTCACTATAAGTAAACGTCTGTACAAGTTATTTATCCTGTAGTGGCGTTATGCTCTCTCTTACAACTAAATTATACTAAATGTTAATCACCAAGCGTTAATGTTAACCAACTTTGAGTTGTTTCAGTTCAACCAATCTTTTGAATTCGACATATAATAATTTAAATATCTGATGATAGAATTTAATTGATGTGATTATTTGATTTTAAGAGATTAGTCTTATATTGTTAAATAAATTGGTAAGATAAACATATTTAATTCACACCATAAAAATTTGAAATTAATTATTAATTGGAGAATTCAATACCCAACCATACTTGTATGATGTATAAGTGAACAAGCAATTCCTATTTAAAAAAAGAGAAAATCGCTTCAGTGACCAAAAATACCTTAAAATATACGATTTTAACCAATTTTTTTTGGATTTACCAAAATGACCAATAAAATCGCAACGCTAAAAAGAAAATCGCAACGGTCAAAAGAAAATCGCAACGCGATTTATATAATCGCAATGCGATTGACGTTGAAAATAAAAAAACATTTGTTTCTCTAAAAAGATAGTATCCGCGCGGACGTGTCGAAGACACGTATTACCACGACCACGACCACACCCGACCCGACCCGACCCGACGGCGGCGGCGGCGCGCGAGAGTCCCCCTTGTTCTCTTTCACTCAACAAGGAAGTGCAAAATACAAGCCTTAAATATAATTCCCAATAGTGTTTCCAATACTATGTGGGATTGAGCATTACCAACACTTGTTCCCAATATCATTATTCTTCATAAGTTATCATCCATTACAATATGAATTATCGATAATAAATTAATTCATTTTAATAAGTATTTAAAATTATAACTTGATAAATACATGAAATAATTCTATTATTAAATAAAAAATATATTTTTTATATTAAAATTATTGAGATAGATATTTACTATAAAAGTAAAAGATTTTTTTTTTCACGTACAACCTCTATGTGAATTAGTTTCACAATAAGGTATAGGTTATGCATTGGATTCTTTCGTATTAGATGGTCTTTAATAAGATCATCATCATCATTCTTTTGTTCAACAATACCATATATTAATGAGGTATATTGGTTCATTAACACGACTAATTCATATTGTAATGGATGATAACTTATGAGAATAATGATTTGGAACAAGTGTTGGTAATGCTTAATCCCACATAGTATTGGAAATACTATTGGGAATGGTATTTAAGGCTTGTATTTTGCACTTCCTTGTTGAGTGAAAGAGGACAAGGGGGACTCTCGCGCACCGCCGCCACCGCCGTCTCATCTCGGGTCGGGTCGTGGTCGTGGTCGTGGTCGTGGTCGTGGTCGTGGTCGTGGTCGTGGTCGTGGTAATACGTGTCTTCGACACGTCCGCGCGGATACTATCTTTTTAGAGAAAATTCTTAAGAAACAAAAATCTTTTAACTATCTTTTTAACGTTGCGATTTTTTAAATCGCGTTGCGATTCTCTCAATCGCATTGCGATTCTATAAATCGCATTGCGATTCTCTCAGTCGCATTGCGATTTTCTTCTAAATCGCGTTGCGACTCTCTCAATCGCATTGCGATTATATAAATCGCATTGCAATTCTATCAATCGCATTGCGATTTTCTTCTAAATCGCGTTGCGAACTTGGAAGCTCGCGTTGCGATTTTCTTTTTAACGTTGCGATTTTCTAAATCGCGTTGCGATTTTGATATCGCGTTGCGATTTTATTGGTCATTTTGGCAAATCCAAAAAAAGTTGGTTAAAATCGTATATTATAAGGTATTTTTGGTCACTGAGGCGATTTTCTCTTAAAAAAAACAATCAATCCATTAATGGACATCAGTAGTAAAAGAGATTATTGTTATCTTTAGAGATTTCAGGTTCAAATCGAGGAGGCGTCGAGAGAACCTTCTCCGTCTTCAACTCTTCATTCATTGAGCTTATTATTGTAGCTATTAAGTTGTGAATGATCTTTCATATTTGCAAATTTGGATCTTTTTATTAATCTTTATATTTTGTACTATGTTATAAGCTTTTGACTTAATGATTGTGGGAGAATCATTGAATGTAAGTTACAAGATTACAATGAGAGTTGTGAGAGTAATGTCGAGAGATCGAGATTGTTTTGTAAGTTAGATATTTATAAAGATACAATGGCTTGCGTTATTTGAGTGAATTAGCTACAAATAAAGGTGAAATTTCCTCAAAAGCTTGTTATATACATTAATTCAATCGCTTTGTCGCAACATAGATAGTGTCTTGACATTGGTATTTAGAATCTACCTTGAAAGTTGGTTTAGTTCAAATAATATAAGATTATTATCGAAAACTGCAATTATTCGAAATGTTGTATTATTTTTTGAGATGAAGTTAGAAAATTTGTTTTGGTGTGTCAAATTTAGAAATTATATGAAGAATTCTTTTGAGTGAGAAAATTGATTATTAAATTTCTTGTTCATTCATTAAGAAATGTATCTTGTTTGTATTTGTTCGTTAAAATGATAAACGACTACAAACGGATGAAACGAACGTAAACGAATACAAACGAACACAAATGAACATAAAATTAAGTGGGTTTATATTCAAGAATAGTTTTTTTCTTTCCAAATAATTTTATGATTTATATTTTCTTTAAGTGATTTGAGTATTTTCTATTTTGGGTTTATAATTAATTGAGTTTTAAAATATTAATGAGTTTAAGGTTAAAATTCACTAGATATTAATATTTCAAATAGGTCTAGAGATTGGATTGAATATAAACGAGCGAACATAAATGAATGAACATAAAAGAATGGATTACTGAATGTTCGTGAACGTAAATAAATGAACAAGCCTTTTAAACGAACATAAAATTTTGTTCATGTTCATTCATTTAATAAATAAAAGAACTTCCCGCCGAATAATCACGAATAGTTTGTTGAGTGTTCAATTTCGTTTTTAAAGGGTGTCAATTTTTTTCAAAACTTGTGTCATTTCTTTAATTTTATTATATATATAGGAAATTTTCTTTTTTGCAAAATTTGGGATGTCAATTGACATCTACTCAATATATATTGGCTCCGTTAGTCATTATCTTGTTTGGTTTATTTGACAGGAATGTAAGAATACATTGTTTGGTTGAATGAATATAAAATAAGAAAAATGTATGTTTCACCAAATTATCCTTGAGATATATTTCATTTTTTAACAAGTTAAATTCTCAATATTAAAGTTAAAATATTCACATGAAAGTTCATAGAAAATATAATTTTCTATTATTTTTAGTGTATATATATATATATAATAAATTTGTACACAAATAACTTAATATATATTTTTTTATTCTGATTTTTTTATTTCTTTGAAAATATAGAAACATACTTACACCAATATAATTATGTGTTTATTTTTAGGTACCAAGATATTGAGAGATGTACAAACTTACATCAATTTAAGTATGTTTTAAGTGTTATACTTTTTTATTTTACTCATTTACACTAGTGTAAGTATCCACAACACCCTAATCCTATCCGATTCGAAGATCGAGGAATTAAAGCATTATATAGAACCACTGAAGTGGCTAACTTAAAATTTATTTTTTTATTAAATGATAACATCATAATACTTGAGGTACCATCATTTAAAATCATACATGAAAACATAAGTATTTAGGTTTACAAAAGTAGGGAGCTCATAATATATCTCAAAATAATACATATGAAGTATTTCAAAATGGAGTTACGACTAGAATATACGAAGGTCTATGAATAATACATGCCCTTTAAAATAAACGTAAGATGTATTCTGAGCCTCGAATGGTCTGGAATGCAAGTTGTGTGATAAACTCTTCGACAATCTTCCTAAGAACTTTCGCATAGAAACAAATTCCAAACGATAAGTTCACAACTCAGTGTCACACTAATAATTGTACTACAATACACGCGTTAATCATATGAGCATGCTAGCAGGTAAAGACATAAGCATACAAGTATGCTAATCATGCATGCTAAGATAGGCATCATGTTGTGGTCGGAGGGTTTGCTGCATCTTGAGACTCACATAACTCTTTCATATCAATAGTATCGTTGGGTGCTTCGCGTGAGATCCAGAATTTCTGCACCAGAAATATACACCGACTAACTTACTCCTCGTGAGTACTCAAGGCATCTGCACTGAGTTTGCAACTGAAGTGCCTTGACACTAGCTGAGATGTATCCAGATATTTCTAATCATACAAGACGATCATCGTACTTGCTAAAGTAACTTGAGTGTCCTTGTTGTTTCCTAAGTGTCAAACAAGGACATAAATTTTATGGCATCTTACTACATAATATTCTTATGCTTTTACTATAGTTATTTATTGTTCTCACTTATAATCTTATTAGATAAGTATTGGCGGTCATAGACCCTTTCCCAAGCCCTTAGTCCAAGTTAGGCTTCTTGTCTAAATCTATGCGATGGTACTAATACTAAGCCCTTTAGTACCTACCGAGACTAACCTAATAATGTCAATACCTTATGAATAAGGTACCAATACTACCTAGCCAAAAAGTCCTTGTTTTAATTATCTAAATATTAGTACATGTATTGCTTATCCAATACCGACACCAAAGCCCATAAATACTCTGTTGTTCCATGAAAATGACACCCAAATTTACCCTTAAGTCTCTCTAAGGCCCTTAAACATTATTTAAGTCTTATGTAAGCTGAAAGGGGTCATAATAAGTCTTTTTAATTTCATGTTGCATAATATCATAAACCATAATCTACCATGACACACTTACATGCTTATGAACTCATATAAGCTAACCAAGCACATCTAGTGACTCACA